AGCGCCAGGGAGGCGCCAGAAGGGGTGAGGACGGGCGAGCGCCAGGGAGGCGCCAGAAGGGCGGCACCGCGCTGCCGGAGACGGCTGGAGCTGCTGACCAGAGCAGCGCGTGCTGGGGTTTGTGGGTTGCGGGTGCTGGGAGGCCGGGTGGGAGCGCGACCCGCTGGTGGTCTCTCGGGCCACACAGGCGCGTTTTGCCTGCAGACTGCCCAGTCCCACAGTGAGGTTGCGCCCGCCCGACGCCTTCTCCATGCGGCCTCGCCTCCAGCAGGCGGCCTCCGTGCCGCCAGGGCTAACGCCCGAGGACGGCGTCTGCTGACCCCAGGCCCCACGCCCCCTCGCCCTGGCCTGGCCACTAGCCAGAGCCACTGAGCGAGATGCCGGCCACTGAGCGAGACGCCGGCCACTGAGAGCTGGGGGACGCTCGCCGGGCTTTAGGGTGTGCCCTCCACCAGGCCGCGGGGCGCCCCTCAGGAACAGCGGTCATGTGAGCTTCTCTGAGGACCAGGCGGGGCCGGGCAGCAGCACCGGAGGCCACGTCACCCGCGGCCACATACATGTGAGCCCCCAGCCAGGCTAACGGACCCCGTGTCCAAGGCCTTTACCACAGCCCCCGCGGGCCAGTACGGGGCGCTTGAGTTTCTCTAGTTTTTCTAAGATTTATTTACTTACACATATAAGAACTGGGGTACAGGCCAGAAGTGGGGGGAGGGGGGGTGAGAGGCCTCCCCAGAGACAATGGGGAGCAGGACAGGTGGGTCCACTGAATCCTCTGCTGAGGGAGCAGCGGGACGGGAGGGGTCTGCTGCGCCCGGGGTCCCTCCCTGGCGGGGCGGACTGGGGCCCGGGGGCTGCCTCACCTGCTGACCCCGGGGGCTGTCACCCTCGAGTTTCCACAGCAAAGCTAAGGTAGGACAGGGCACATGTCACGCGCAGCCAGACGGACAAAGCAGGCGCCGGGATGGGATCCCGATTTCACACAGCTTTGGGGGTGCTAGGATGGGAAAATTAAGGTGACCTTAATGAAGTCTCAAGGGCTCTAACGGGTAGACAGCAGGTCAGAACTGATGGGCAGCGAAGCCAGCGGAGACACAGCGGGGAGCGTCTCCGGGACGCGGCAGACACCAGACCAGGCCGGACCGCGAGGAGGAAGAGCCAGGGGCCCTCCGCGCGGGGACGCGGTGCCCCAGCGCCGGCCAGTGCGGCACCCCTGCTGCGGCCACTGCCAGAGGACAGCCGGGGCCCCAGAAGGCACCGCTCAGGGTCGAAGGCGGGGCGCCGAGCACGCGGGGGCGCGCGGGGTGTGGCGGGG